GCAGGAATGGGGGAAAACCCACCAAAACTAAGATAGTTACACTTAGTAAAAAAACCAGGACAGGACTGTGAAGCTAAAAATGGTAGAAAGGATGAAATGAAAAAGCTACAAAATAAATGGAAAATGAAGCATAGGAACAAAGGGACATAAGTATACTAGAGTATACTAGTCAAGTCTCTATTTGCAACTAAAACCTCAAACTTTAGGCCTCCAGGTTCTGTAAGCCTCCTATGGAAATGTTTTCAGTATACTAATTTATAAGTCTATTTCAATGTTTGAGTTTTAAAAGTTTTATTCCCTGAACGGAAGCAATGGTTGGACGAGCAGCCGCGGGGGCAGACAGGAGGGCACCGCACCCCTCGCAGCGGTGAGTGGCCCAGGGGGGCTGGCGGGATGCCACTGCCTCCACAGAGCAGAGGAAGAAGCACGAGGTTCATTGCTCCCTCTGAGAGCACCTGGGGAGGGTGAATGGTGAAAATGCCTCCGACTCTGCAGGGTGTCAGCTCCACACTGAGTGCATCTGGAGTGCCGCAGCTACTGCACGCATACAGAGTAATCCAAATATGCACGCGTGCTAGCCCAGGCCATGGGGAAAGGGAGGAGCCCAGAGCACACCACACTTCCTTCTCCCGGGAGGAAATTATTCAGCTTCTTTGACCACAGATGTTCACTGGCATTCGCTTCAGAGAATAAACTCCTAAGTGTACTGACTCTCGCAGTAGCTATAATTAACCAAAATCAGGAAACATTGTCCTTGGTGGGAATCGGCCCATACAGATAAGGTCCCAAGGGGAAAGTTGTGGCTTCAGATCTTCAGGATCAAACACAATGACACCAATTTACGGAACTCTGCATCCAGTATTGTCCATTTTAATCCAAGAATTTATTGCTGTGCTCACCAAACTGAGCTGATAGAGGAGTACGCTGTCCAAGGACAGCGGCACGTTCCTTTTACACTCTGATGTCTATTTTTGCCAATTTGGGTAACGCTTGAGAGAAGCTGCACATTACAGAAAGGGTAGATAACATGTATAGATACATTTTGATTTTAAAGCCATAAAGGACCATAAAACCAATTAATGTCACTAGTCAGAGGGGCACCACCAGTCTGTGAACTTTATCCAGTTACTTCAAGATTGAATCCTATTGTTTGTGTTTGACACCACCACATCTTCCAGAAATAAACTGTCTGGATCTGAAGACTGCAAGAGATGGAGAATTCACCATTTCCTTTGATATTCCTTTCATTAATTATTAATCATCTTTGCTGACATAAATCTCTGCCTTTTCCCACTGAGCCTGATTTTTCTTCAGCACACTAATCTCTATTACGTCTCTTTCCACTACATTAAAGAGCCTATTTATGTTCTCCCAGAGAAAGTATACAAGCTTAACAAAATAATTTTCTCTATATTGATTTCGACGTATCAAAAAAATCTAGTCACTATTAATCCCCCCATTGTCAACAGCTGCTGCGCAATTGCAATGTCTGCATTATTGATTGCTGAGTGGCCATAACTAAGTGCTCAAGAAAGTCAGAAAGAAAATCATCAGCTTAAGTCACGCTGACATGAGTTACTTTATGACACAAAGCTTTGATTTATGACCCTTCTTTCTGATACTCAGGCCTGGCGGCATTCTTGGTGAAATTATCGTGCCAAAATTCAGAAGCAACTTCATCAATGGTTAATGAGACCATAATCTCTCCTCTTAAGAAGAGAATTTATTCTAGCCATATATTGTTCTTTATTGTTATCCTTTATGGACCAATTAAGACAATTTGATGTTAATAACTGTAATACGTTGAAGTGTGTCAGTCTTACCATTAGATGATCATTTACAATCATTAACTCAATGTATTTTGTTTCCTCTTCAATTTTACGTGGAATCTGACGAACCTACAGAGAGAGTACAACTGTAAGAGAGTCTAACACAGTACAGACAGAGTGTAACTGGTAAGTAGAGATGGCTTCAGAAACCAAACTTCTCATGCATATGTTTTTTCTACTGTCTTAATTCTGGTCTCAGATATTGATGAAAATTCTGGTGCTTAGTTGCATCATTTTAAAAAATTATTTCATCTCCACCAAGACATTTATATGACCTTAAACAATGAAATCAAGTCTTTCAACCTATCTAATCCCAAGTTCAGGTTTTCTTGAAGAAAGGGACTCTTCAGTTGGACCTATATCTCCAAGAATGGCTTGTGTCAGCTATGAACTTTTTTTTCCCACAGAGAAAGGGATCCCTCCTGCATTCCTTATGAAGAATCTCTGTAACAATTCTATTATTTATTCACACACTGCTCAATTCACACAGTGAACTCAGTATTCACCTCTGTGTTATGCTTACTTTGCATTTAGAAACATTTACGACTGTGTTTCTTCATGGTGTCCTTGTTTTCCTGAGTTTTCCAGGAGAGTTATTACATCATTATGATTTAAAAATGTAGAGTAATGGCTAGTTCATAGAAAGGTAGCAAACCACCTGATATAAAGTAAGACCCTCAAGAATGACTTCTGGCACTTCTCCAATGTCTTTCTCACTTCTCTTTTGCCTCCGAGGGGCTTGCATTAGTTAGAGATGTTAAAGTCGTCTTCGCCTCCCACTGCTCTCACTCAGTATTTCACTTTTGCCTGCACTGTTCAGCCCCCGTGACCCGGCTCTGTTTTGACCTGTACCATTATTTGAGCTCCATTCCTAAAACACAAAGAATTGCTGCTATCTTACCAGGGTACAGACAAACATCTGCACTTAGTGGCTCCCCCACTTTAATAAACAGGGAATGAACTCTCAATTTAGAGTATTTATACTAAATCAAAGTCAAGTGAGATAAAGTAGCTACTTGTCACCACTGCAACATAAAACACATTTGTAAATGTTTCATTAATTGGGAGTTTCTGATAAAACTCTATACTCAAAATGAGAGAAAATATTTTAGCTCTTTTTCATTTGCAATTTAGCAATGTTTAACCATTTTATAACTCTTCAGGTAGGCAATGTCCAACAGAACCCAACAATGTTTTGTCAACATTAGATACCTCTTTTTGTAATAGCTGTATTCATATAGAGACCTCATACAAATCAGTGGCAGCAGCACCAGGACTCCATCTGGACACATTAATTCAGCAGACACAAAACAAACTTGATGGCATACGACTTATAAACAAGCATATTGGCACATACCTGCCTTTTACCTCTTTTGTGTCTTGGCTTTACAACAAACTTCTGCGACGTAGTATTCATTTGCCAGAACTCTAAGCAGAAAACACAGGCAAATACATTGAATGTTTACAAGAATATAGCCCAACAATTAGTGACCCTGATGCCGCATGACAGTAGTATGGCATTCTTCTGCACATCAGATGGAGTAACAACTCCTTTTTTCAAGTTTCCAGCTAGAAAGGAGGCAACATTACAGATGATTCCCAGTAACAGGATTCTTATTAGACACTCTACTAGTGATAATCTGGGTCTGCTGAAATAGATCTGTGGGTGTCATGCTTCAGAAAGCACAACAGATGTTCTACGCCAAAACTTCACCAACACTGGGCATGTAATATTATTAGCACAGTGCTTCCATGGAGTGAATCACATTTTTGGGAATTCAGCAGACATTCGCAGAGCTCTCACAATAACTACCTAAATTAATAAGAAGAGCACGGAAGGCAGAATTAATGCTTTAAGACGATTATATTTACAAAGTAAAATATGTTAGAGTTGGGAGAAACCTTATGAGATTTTGGCAATGCTCACTATCAATACAATACTCCTCCCTGCTAATCCCACTGTGTCTTTAATTTCTTAAACCTCTAATCATAAGCACCAAGTAGTTTATTCTTTTGCCAAATCCCTTTCACCAAATCTATTACTAGCCGCTCACGGAAAGGGACATGCTATAATCTAAGCAGAAGACAGTACTTGCTCTCACCCTTTTAAATGTCCAAGAAGTATTTTTCCATCTTTAATTTTAGATTCGTAGTCCCTGCCTCACTTTTCTCTACACAACAGAAATCTCTTTCCTTATCTTGTATAAACATGTTTACTATTCACATAACCCCAAGAAGATCTTTTTTTTGAGACACATAATTTAAATGTTTGCAGTTACTTATTTTGTAGTATGTCTTTCTCCTTTGTCTCCTCCTTTGGACTTTCTCCAGCTTTGGACATCCTTTCAGTCTCCAGGGACTGAAAACTGCTTTCACTATTCCAGAGTGATTTTACCAACCCTGCCGAGAAGTAGACAGTACTATAGGAGCTGTGTAAATTAAGGGACTTCCAGTTCACATACCTTTGTACACAACTTTTGGTTGTGTTACAAAATCCTGAACAGTTCAGTTTCGCTGGTAAGACAGGACAGTTTATCACAGCTCCACCTCCCATCTGCTCTACAGTAACACTGCAATTTCTGCATGAGGTTCAAACAACAGGATTTTGATAGTGCTGCCTATCAGCAAAACCTTAAAACACAAAGCTGAATTGCCCATCTGACAAAACATTACCAGGCATAAGTGCTAATCTTAACCAGGAGTGGCTCGTTACTGATAAGACAAACCAGGAAAGCAAAGCATGACTAACTGGTATTGTCTTGGGTAAATCTTGGGGATTATACTGTCATTCTGGTATGTGAAGTTTGCAGATACCTTTTTATGGAGGGCCTGGACGATCATAGGCCTGTTGCTTAAAACTGTTTTCATGGTTACACCAGTGCACTTGAGTATTTTCTTTACAAAAAGGACCTAAAATAAATTAAATCACATCCAAGTGTCCCTATTTATTATTTAAAGACCTGCAGTCTCTAGAGCTTGCAATGATGAGAAACTAAATCTTGAACATTTTTTTTACAACTTCGTTTTTGATTATGCTTTACATATGTTGATTAATTTATTCTGTGTTCTAGTGACACACAACTGGCTCTCAACCAGTCATTTTAGGCTTCATATAATCGTTAATGAAACTGGTTAAAATACAACATTTTAATCAATAAAATCATAGAATCATAGAATGGTTTGTGTTGGAAGGGACCTTAAAGATCACCTAGTTCCAACCACCCTGCCATGGGCAGGGACACCTTCCACTAGACCAGGTTGCTCAAAGCCCCATCCAACCTGGCCTTGAACACTTCCAGGAATGGGGCATCCACAGCTTCTCTGGGGAACCTGTTCCAGTGCCTCACCACCCTCATAGTGAAGAATTTATTGCAAAATAACAACTTATAATACGTATATAGGTTCTCATAATTTTACCAGCAAATGTGATCACTTTACACACCATCGGAAGACAGTCATCTCTAGAGGGGAATGATACAGCCATTAACGTTAACACATTAACACACATTAACACTGTGCTATAATTCACAAGCTGGATGAATTCACGCAGGGTGCATTTGCAGCCAGAGACCCTCAGGCAAAAGAACACAACCAGCAAAATCACAGGAAACGTAGACAGCTGAGACAGCCTAGCAGAAATTTTGATGGGAACATATTACCTTGAAAAAGTGTAATGAGGATTCATAGAATCACAGAATCAGGTTGGAAAAGGTCTTTAAGATCATCAAGTCCAACCATAAACCTAACACTGCCAAGTCCCACTAAACCATGTCCCTAAGTGCCACATCTACACATCTTTCAAGTGACCTCAAAAGAAAAGGACATCTGTCATGCATGATTTGAAAAACACCACCTTCAATAACATAGTATTGTCTAAGACCACGCCAGGGCACTATATGTCTCAATACAGATTGTGAGAAAGAAATGTCTGCTAGATTATGAAGTCAAATGCTCTAAGCATGCCAAGTCATCCATCCAAGCTTTCCTTATTTAAAGTCCTCATTACCTACTCAGACCATTGCAAACTACAGTACAATTCTTTTCTGCAATAGCTTGCTTTTTTTTTTTTTAACAGCCAAGGAGTAAAAGAATGTCAAAAGTACATTGCTATTGAACTGTGGTATAATAGTGTGTGCTTTTACTATCACTGATATCAAGTAATCCCTTGTACTTGATTTTTTTTTTTACTTTCTAACATCATTATTGAAGCTGATGATACATCCAGTCCATTCCTAATGCAGTTCTGAGTGGAAAGCTTAGACAGACTCTTTTAAAGACAAGAAGAAAATCTTGACATCAAGGAAGATATCCTTAGGCTGGGCAAATTGATAAATTATGAGAGTAATAAGGAATATAAGAAATACTGATGATATAACCTAGCACAGTGCTTGCTACTAATAGTAATGATTCTGCTGTAGTACTTAAAAAAAAAATCAATCACAACAATACTACTTGCAATTAATTGCTAATATTATTTAAAGAAAAAAAAAAAAAAAAAAGAAAAGTCAAGACAACAGTCAGCACTCTCCAGACTGGCAGGGAAGAGAGAGTGCCAAGCAGAGACACTGGTGGGGCAGCATGGGCGAGGAGCGAAGGAGAAGGAGGGGCAGGGTGTGTAGCAGGTTGAGGGATGAACGATAGAGCACAGGAAAAAGGGTGGGGAAGCAGAAGGTGGTGTGGACTGCTCTCATCCTCTGGAGCTGTGGCTATACGTGGAAGATGACTTAAAGACAGAGATAAATTGAATAATTGCAGATAAAGAAAAAAGGTGGGATTCCTGATGAGGATATAATCTATTACATCTACTGAAACTTTCATTACAAACCTCAGAAACACCTTTCCAGTTTTACAAAAACAAGCATGGGCATGTGGCAGAATGGGATCCTAAACATAAAACAACAGAAGATTAGCACCTTATACTTGCTATCCACATTACAAATATTTGTATTAAGAGTCCTAGCACTCCACAATTAAATATCCTTTTCAACCTTTTCTACAATTTTGTGATTCTAGTTCAATCTAATGGCAACATCTTCCATTACGTCACATGCCAGGCTTTGTACAGCAAAGCCAGCAACTATTTACTTATTATGTACAGTAAAATCAAAACTGTACAAGCATATCTGGATTGGGGCGGGGGGGGGGGGGGAGAACAAAAAACCTGAAGCTGTATTTTGACAGTGTTTTTGAAAATCAAGACGCTTTAGTGGAGGTCAAACCGGTGAATTATACTTGCAATAAATTATTTTTCATAATTTTAAAAGCCAAAAATAATTTTATTCTGAAATCTTGAAAATATAAGATTTCACTATTAGGAAATCTTGTAAGACAGCTGATAGATATCTACTAAGTACCAGCTCTAGCAGCCTCCTACTTTAACAACCTCAGACAGAAGATTTATTTTAAACTCAGCAGTGGTTGCATTATTTCCAATCTTTCAAACTCCATATCCTCAAGAAAGTGTGATAAAACATGCACTTTATTATTTAGCCTTATGTTCGATAAATTGTTCTCATTACTACCATCTCCACAAATACAGGGAGTAACCATGGTATGTGTCTAAGGTGCATGTACATAGGAAGCTTCATGATACAGATGTCAACGTCTTGCACTGCACGAGCCTTTTGTGCTGCCCCTCCATCCCAATGCCTCCTCCACCTTGCCTGGGCAATCATCAGCAAAGGACACGAGGCACCAAGCTGGGATACTGTGTTGTTTAGAGTCAGAAAGATTTCTTTTTCAGAACTGAAATCAAGGTGACCCAATTGTAGCAATTTCCCTTGTTTTTTCTCATTAGCTCTCTGAATTATTCTACTTTGCTTAATAACGAGCAAACCTGCACACAGTGCTCCAGGGAAGGACCCATCTATGTGCAGTACAGAGCACCGTACGATTCCAGAGCCAACTGTTACCATAGGACAAATGGTTTGTAACAAGATGACTGGACATCCGTAACTCTCCTGAAGAAACTAGTCTAGAGGTGGTTTCTACCAAAATGACAGCATCTATGATGGACAGTTTTATTTATCTAGGATATACTTTGTAGAGTAGGAAAACACATCTGTAAAACTGGCAAATCCTTGACAGAATGGGGATATGCCATAAATACTGCAATTTTAGCTTCAATTAACAAGCCAACTTCTCAGATGAAAACTCATTTTTTTAAAAATCTCTTCTCCTTCCACACACAATATAAACTGTTTGTGGGGATTCATCACTACAAGCACTTGAAACCACTTCTGCATCCAAATTCATTTGTACTGAAATGCATGACCTGCACTACAGCCAGTACTGTGAAAGATGCCGAACGGACTGCAGATGAGAGAGTCACTAAACAGCAACGGTATCTGGCACGCTTTTGTCTCCCAGGCTTATGCTCACACCATGGTACTCACCCTGTATCTCAAAACAGGAAAAAACCATGAAGAGTTATCAACCACTGGCGATGTGGGGTTTATTTTCATGATCTTTAGGTTACCTCAGTCCTTTCCTTTCTACAACTACTAGCATATAATGCAGTCCATAGACCACATGACTTGTTAAGAGAAACATACATCACAACATGAAGGTCTAGGAGATGTTTGATTCATTGGATTCAGGGTTATTTCAGCACTTTAGGTTCTCTTCCAGTGCTTTCAGTGTTTCAGATTCTTTTTTTTTTTCAGTGCTTTTTTATTTAATCAGGAGAAAGAAGAGATATACAAATAAACAATATACTATCACAAGATTATCTATCAAATACGATTAACAAATTTGGCCTCAGACTAAAACAAGTAAGTCATGAATATTAAAAAATCATACCAGATGGCAGGTCATCCGAAGGAAACTCAAACAGCTTGGATTTGTAAACAGAGTGGAAATGGAAGTCATCCTGAAAAAATAAATAGTTGCATGTATTAAACCTGGATAAACTGATCCATCTCATGAACATTAAATAGACAGTTCCAAAGGTCCTTGTTGTCCAGCACCTACCCTAGTGAACACGCAAGTTGCAAGGCACCATTACTCTACACTCTTCTCCTTTTCCCAACTGTGATGTGATTGCTAATGCCACAGTTAATCATCTTTTATTGGCAGTATGTGAGTATATCAAACGGAGTGGCTGAGCACGCTTAGAGCTAGGCTTAAGATACCTGCCCAGGGAACATCAATGAGAGTCACAGGAGCTGGTGAACTGGAGTCGAGGCCGAACCAGGAGGGATGTAACAAATCCAGAGCAGGAAGTGCCAGAGAAGGGGACAGGGCACTCACAGGCTTCTCCTGCTGGCTCCAGGGGACCCTCATCACCCTCTGGTGCTGCACTGCTCTACATCCAAGTGTTACAGAGTACACACATATACACATACCACTGCCTAATTTTTGGAGGTCTACTTTTGTCTGTGATGATGGGGACTCACATATGAGGTAAATGAGTTGGCAATGAGGGGATGACCCTTTGGTTCCAGAGCCCTACACCTACCCTGTACCCATGAATGTCTGTATTCAACAAATAACACAGCAGGACTACTATAAGTTCTACTTACATCTGAAGTGTAGTTCTCATCTGGCTCAATAAGGTAAGTATGATTTCCATCACAGAACATCCCACTGTCAAGAGCAGGAAATGTAAATACCGATTTAATAAACAAATACAAGTGCAACATGGAAGTAAGTTTAAGAAGTTCATATATTTTAAAAATTTAAATATTTAGAAAAGGAAGCAGTTAAAAATGGTTTCAGGGACTGAATGTAATTCTGAGTCAATCTTTTGTTTCTTCGCTTCAGAAAGAAAGATATTCTCCCCTGTGGTGATATACACTCTTCTTTCTTCCCCAAAGCTTCTCTGTAACACATATATACACCACAAAAATTGGCTAATTTAGCCAACTGAAAATCCAGTTCAGAGCCCCCACCCTCATGCAAGAGAGATCTACCTGCAACAGAAAAATAAGGGACCTGTCTTTAGAACACACGTATTTGGAACATGCGCACCGTTTTCCCCCAAATAAAAATATTATTGAATTGAACTGATCCTTAGGTTTTAGTAGTTTTGATTAACTCTTTCCTCAGTAATTTCATATAGCACCAAGTACAAAGGGCCTAATGGGCTTTTTTGGGCATAGAGGGCTGTTTGGGGCATTTCAGCAATAATAATTACAACAGATGGTCTTTTCTTTTTAAATTGAGTTAGTCTAAGCTTGTATTTCTAAGAAACACTAATGGCTACATGCATTATTATATCAATATGGACATTATACGATGTTCATGATAACGAGATAGGAAAACCCATCAGACAGGCTTCCAATGAGTTGTGGTGAAAAGAGATACAGAGGACCAAGCCTTCTGCCATACCCATGGTTCTGGCAAAGTATTCATGGTCTCTTCCTTAATGGCATAAAACCTTCTCAACAACAGAAATTTGAAGGTCATTCTTGATGAACACACTGCTATGTATCTCAGAAAATCTGTCACTTCGCTTGCCCACACACAATCACCGATTTTCTATATTAAATTTCAACACACAGTTCAACTTTAAATGAAGAACAAACTGAACTGTTAAGGCTCTCTCAATGGATGAAGTAACACCAGATGCTTTTGCATTACCACTCGAATGTACAGCAAACATGAGGTCCATTCCTGCAAGCATGTTTTCTATTAAAAGCTACCTTAAGTTTACTTGGGTAAAGCGGGTACTTAGGTTTAGTCTTTAACATAATGTGGGATGCACAGGTGTCGTTGAATTGCACCTTAAAAGAAAGTGTTGATGCAGATACTATTCTGTAAGAGCATAAAACCAAAGTGCACTTCTTATATCACTACCATTCTGATCTTTAACCAAATCAGCATTTTTTTTTAATAATTTTGCCTTTATTGCAGTGGCATACACGCATGGTTGGGATTAGGCTGTATCAGCATGTCCCCTTCACACTGCCACTATTAAAGGCTTTAAGCTTGACCATAAATATGAGCTGCAAGTTCAAACTTGGCACATAGTACACAACAGCAGCATGAAAGCAAGATTATTTATTTATTTAGACTACTCTTTAACAAACTTTTAGGTACCAAAAAAAACCCCACCAGAATTATAAACAAGAAAAACAAATACTTTTCTTTTTTCTTAGGCAGGTTTTTTTTTTTTTTAATCAGCAAAATTGATTTTGGTTCTGCACAGGACCAGATGCAGTCAGTAAAATATTGTCATTCTTTTCCTGACTATTAAGAAACATAAGCATATATTAAGTTCGTAAACCATCACAGCTACTGATGAGCATACTTCTCTTAATATCATTCACTTACGGGGTTAACCATGTAGCATTCACAGAAGTAGCTTGGGTTACTGGCTGTATAACATACATCAAGTGTGATCGTATCAACAATTTAAAGCCATTTCATCTTTCAGATTACCTGTGCCTATACTTTAGAAATAAGTACTGTCTACACAGCTTAAGACAAATATTCTAGCACCTCCTGAAGCTTCTTTGCCTGGGAATAAGATGAGATCAGGCAGAACTTCCTTCCCTCTAACTGCAATTTTACTTAAGCACAGTCTGCAAGATGAAGGGCTATCAGCAAACGGCTTCTCATGAGACTGTTGCAGCCAGCAGCACTGACCTCTGATCAAGTCACTCAACAGTAACAAGAATAATAGTCACGGCTGACCTACACATCTGACTCGCCCACTCAAAGCATTCACGGCTCTTTTCCAACCGACTTCAATAGTCCAGTGGTCTGTGAACAAATCACGTGCTCACGGATGTGTCGGAGAGAAAGCAATAGCAAAACAGGGGCCGTTTCAAAAACCTGAATTTTTAGTATGTACATTCTTCAAACAAACAAATTTGTAGTCCTGAGTCCAATTTGCAGGAATAACAGCAGGTTTTATATTCACCACCAGTGGGCAGCAAAATCATAGACCAACCTGGTGCCTGTGCAACTTGCCTTGAAACACAGGACTGCAAGTCGTGCCTGACTATAGAGCTTATTTATATCCCAGCAACCAGTATGTTTTGCATTCCGAGTTTTTTGTGTTAACTCATAGGAAATTCTGGTTACTGCATATCCCACAGAAAACAAAAAATTCCAAACAAAATGGCTCGTTCGGAGTTAAGGTTGCAGAGATACATTTTTTATTAGCAAAGTCATTAAGAAGAGAAGAAATTCACAATTTTAACTATGCTGTCAGCCAGTCATCCGATTAATTTAGCTAATAAAAGGAAGACCACAACATAGACATTACCAACAGAAGAACTCATAATTTATGATTAAAAAACCACAACATTTTCCCACATGTATGAAAAATTCCATTGTTAATGGCCAAGATCTAGGGGTACTACTAAGTAAGAGAGGAGATTAGCAAGAATTTTGGAAATATGAAGCTTGTTATTCTTTTATAGACATCTATTCTGTCTTACGCACTTCCTGAAATTCATGAAAGCAAAGCTCCTGCCCTGCAGACCTTATTAGAAGATAACTCTCCCTAGCTTCCCTTATTCCAGCGAGAAGCTCCAAACTGTGGTTAGAGCTAAGGAGCTCTGATTGCCAGTGAGAGTTTCTAGTAATTACTTAGCATTTAAAATTGGCTGTGGAGGAGCTAGTTGTAATGATGGAGATGCTGTGTCAGAGAATGTGAGTTTAACATGGCTCAGGAAAACATTACGTTCTCATACTGGATGCTGGAATTACCAGCCTGCTATAGTAAGCTTCATATTGCATCTTGTGTGAAGGATAACTCTGCTGAAACTTTATTGTATCAGAAAAGGGGGAAAAAAAAAAAAAAAGATACCTCTCAAGGGAGAGGTGAATTATACAGGGGAAAAAAATGCATCTTTCATTCACACGTAACTGCACTAGAAGGGACCAATTTGAATATCAGGCAATTCAAGAATAGAGAGCAGCAAGAGGGTCAGTCTTAAGAACAAACCCACAAAGGGAAGACAGAAAGGACATATGCAGGCTCTCCTTCCTTTCTGCTTTTTCTCCTAGGAGTCAGCAGGGGCCAAGACCTAATGGATCACTGCTAATGGAAGCCATGCAGTGGCTCAGGATGCATTAGGATGCTACTATTTTTAGGCTCACTGTCCATACTGAAACTGGGCTCAGGTTTCTTGAGCTGCTCAACCTTGATCATAAAAGAGATAAACACAGCTGTAAATCAGACAAGTGCAAGGATGACAAGTCTCCTGCATGCAGCCTCCCCCTTCCTAACAAAGAATATACAAATATAGAAGAAAGACACTACTTAAATATGTGTACTTATATGGCAGATACCAAAACTACAAATAGTTGGAGACAGACAATAAGCTGAAAAAGATTTCCATCACCTAAGCCCTGCTTCCTCAGAAAAAGGCAAAGCTCAGGTAATCTCCACACAGGCACACTTGCTGCCATCACTCTTCAAGCTGATCTCAGTATCAAAAGCACTGAGACCCTGTAATTCCCAGATTAAACAGGCACTGAAGTTACTTGGTTGCTCTGAAAACCTGACTAGCATCTTTCAATAGTGTCAAAAGTTGACAGGTCCAAAAGCTGTACAATCAACAGCTGTACAATCAACAGCTGTACAATCAACAATCAACAGCTCCATGTAACCTTCAGATGACAGACACTTTAATTATCACTAAAATGATGTACTTCAAAAAAAACTTATTATTGAACAATTTTATATCCTTTCTTCCAGATTTCCCAAGATCTTACTGTATCAAAGGTACTATGCCGTGCACACAGCTTAAGGCCAGCAATTCTGTGAAGAAAATGTATAGGACAAGACCAACTTTAAACTGACACTTTCCTTTGTAAAGAGAGTAGAAAAGAAAGCTATAATACGTCATTGTAGCAACAACAAAAGAACACAATTTCCAAATGGTTAATGTTAATACTGGCAGTGTTTTTCAGTCTTGTAGAATATGGTATTTTCAGCTACTTTTACTCTTCCATCTCTATAATAAACTATCTTAAAACAATACCTGGGCACTATCATATGTCCTCAGTTTTAAAAAAAAAAAAAAAAAGTAAGTTGCAGGCTTTGTCAGTGAATTCTGAAAACAAACAAACAACGCTTTTGCAAGGTTCAAATTAAACCCGTTTTTTCTAAAGATTGTTGAGTACTTAATATTGGTGACAAACTAGTAGGAAAATAAATAGCACTTATTTTACTATAAACAGCTTTATTTTGCTTAAAAGACTAATAAGCAAAGGCTAGTAAAAACAAAACAGCAGACTTACTGTAATCCATGGCATGTTGACAAGGCAACAAATGAAACAGGATTTCCTCGAATTTCTCCCTGATAATAGCAATGTTCTCCTCCCTAAAATTGGAAATTGAGACTGTAAATCCACAGGACATCACACAGTATCACACTCCAACCTGTCAAACTGCTTTTTCATAAATACATTGCCAACCCACTGACATGGCACCAAGAATTGACTATCACTCACAAGGGTGTTCATCCCATCTCCTTTTAGCCATGGTTTGGTACCTAGGCAAACATCATTTTGACTCTCTACACAAAATGGAGATATTTTCAGTGTGAAATCCCTGGCATCCTGAGACAGATTTCAGAGACAAATGGCTCCAGAAGCACTCATCTTTCTTCATTGACTTGGAAAAGAGTTGGAAATAGAGGGCTTAGACTCAACACCTGGTCTGCACATGGTTACACTGGACAAGATGAACTCTGCTCTGAGGGTAAGGCAATTTCCTACTTCTGATGAGAAAGGAATGCTTATGAAATAATAATAATACTTGATTTAAAAAGAGAACAAATCAGAAGTGCTCACTCTATTGCTCCAAAACTAATGGAAACTTTAAGCATAACCAAGCAGTAAAGGAATACAACGAAAATTAATATTTGCCTCTTCTCTTCTGCAAATAAAATATACACCTTTCAAATCAAATCCAGCAGACCTTGCTCAAAAAATCGCCCCCTTACTTTGACAGAAGTCACACCGATAGCCAAGTAAGCCCTACTGCATATGCACAGAATGTATTGAGTATTGCGCAATGTCAATATTTGTATGCAAAGTTAGAAAAACAATTCAAACATCCCTTAAATCCTCACCACCACTCTACCCTGCAGAGGAACCTCCCTGTTCGTGCCTTGCCGAATTCAGCTATGTCGTATTACTGCACTACTGTTAGTTAAAGGACTATGAAGAAGATTTTCCATGTTTTTTTTTTTTTTTTTCATAGCAACACTTCATTATTTCTATTCCCTACCAGCAAATGTATGAATAATCTACCTGGCCGAATGTACCCTGCCATGTGAATATTTCTGTCCATTTATTGCAAGGAGAGAAAGGCATTACAATTACTGCCTTTTCAGAAGCCGGCAGTCACTTGCATGATGCATAGAACAGTCATTTTAGACATCTGACATGAAATGCTCTTGGATTTTATTTTTCAAATATGAAAAGAAATTAATCAAGATCAGGCAAAAGGCAAGAAAACACATAAAATAAGTTGGTAGTTTTGTGTTTTGATCAGGAAATCCTGTTCTGTTTTCTACAAGGTGTGCAAACTATTTTTGAAAGCAACTACAAAGTACGGGTGCCTCTGTTTCAAGGTGCTCTCCTTAAGACAGTATAGGAGCCTGTTAGAGCATGGCAGCTCCCAGGGGAAGAGACC